AAAAACTTGCCAAACATGTTCCAGGTACTGCTCCGGTTTTCCAAATAATCGGCATGTAGGTCTCCTAGCAAAAATGTCTGCTGTGCTGGCCAGAAGAAATCGGCGTGTAGGTTTACCAACGCTGTCCCCTATGCTTGCCAGAATGCTGCTCTGCTGCTTGAACATAATCAAAGAATAACCCAAGCATACATGGGAGAGTCCACAGATGTGGGGGGGTGGGTCCTCAAGGCCAGGGGGGGGTGCCCGGGAGTTGTCCATAGCCCAGGAGACCATGTTGGTAAACAGAAACTCTCACGAGCTCCAAGGAGCTAGCCTTCGTGATCATCACAAGCTGAAGAGCCAAGCTCCCTGCAGAACTCTCCAGCATAGTATCCACACAGACATGCCTTCATCACCTCGCTGGTCATCTCAGCAGAACTATCCATGTACTGGGTGGCCATGCATCTAACACCTGGATCGATTGGCACACGAGGATCGCTGACAAGCGTGCCCGCAACCTGCCACACAAACTACGCCTGCGCGTGCTATCAGCACCACGGACGCCAAAAGCAATGCCCTCTGAGGAAAAAAACTGCTGCATGAGATGGGGGTACCTCAGGGATGCAGTAGCAGAAGCAGTAGAAATGGAACTCTTTGCCAGAAGGAAATAAGTGCAAGTGCTAGAAGATGAGAACCTGAGTCGCAACCTGCCTTGCAGACTCATGCAGCAGGCCCTGTGCCTGGAACATCTGGTAGGAAGCTGGAATCCTGTCCGGAATGCGCACGAGGGGCAAGGTACCCGCTGGCCCATCTGTTCTCAATTACCAGAAATGGCAAACCAAAAGACTTGTCTGTGAATCTGCTACATTGTACAACTTGCCTCATCAAGTCCACCAAGGCGCGAATGGCCTTGGTAGCGAATGGATCAGAAGCTGAACCCTGTGCAGAATGTCCCAGAAGGTAGTTGCTGATGCGGTGGTCTCGGGCGTCAAAGCCTGTATAGTCTCCTGTTTGCGCAACATGCGGCTTCAAACATCAACAGCCAAGCCAGGAAAGTCCTGAATGTGCAGAAGCATCGCGTATGCCAAGGGCCTGAAGTGGCAGAAGATCGAAGCCAAGCTATCTTCCCGTTTTGCAGTTCTCAGGCCTGGAAAACTTGAAAATGGGACTCCTCAACCGCTTTGCAGTTTGAAAGCTGCTTTTTGTGCTTCTGGACTTATTCAAGCGCCAGATACAACGTTCAGACATCCCCATCATGACCCGTAAAAATACAAAAGCGACTTCACAGGCCAAAGGCGCCCCACATGCGAAGGCTTTCCAGTCGAGAACGCTTGAAGATGAGACTCCCCCACACAAAGCTCCAGACTCTAACCCCCACTACCAGCACCCGCAACTTCCTGAAAGGAAAGCTTCAGGCATTCACAGCTCAAAGGCTTGGGTACTAAACTATCATGGTGACAGGTTGCGAGCTTGTGCTGCACCTGTTCCTGGATTTTGGCACTGTTCCGTGAAGCTGGCTCAAACGCCAAAGTCTCAAGGGAACCACGGAAAAGGTGGGATGCTGAATCTGTATCTGATTGTTCAGGCTTTCAAGGGCAGGAGGCCACTTTTTGCTAGACTGTATGCTGAGAAGCTTTCAGCAGGTTCTTGCAGGTTGAAAGCCCCGCTAGCTTGCTCCAAAACGGGTAGTCGACGGCCAGCCTGTGAAGGTGTTAAGTAGGTGCAAATGGGAACTTAGCGGCTTTTGGAAGGATGTTGCTGAGCATGCTCTCACCAGTGTAACCGTTGCCTCCCCCCTTCGCCTCCCCGGCCTCCCTCCAGCAGCGCCCCCTGTTTATGCGTGTACATATATATATATATATGTATACATATCATTTGTTCTAGGGTTGTTGGATGTTGTTGGACACACAGAACGTGTCCGAATAGCTTTAGTTGTTCCATGTGGATGTAACGTGTGTCGGGGAGGGGGGGGTGCTGCGAGTGTGTGCGGAGATCTTGGTTTGTGTAGGGGCCAATCGGATCCCCCTGACAATTAATTCGACGGGGGTTCTGACGTGATTAGGGGAGTCGTTGTAAGGAATAATAAGGAATTGGGGATCTCCTTTATTTCCAGGTTTCTGATTGTTTTGAAGTAGGGCTCAAGCGGAAATCTAACTAGAATTACCGGTCTCGATGACTTCCTAAGTTTGTGTTGATTTAACTCTTCGCCTGAGAACTTCAACAGGTTTGAAATACATCTGAAATGGGGCTGAATGAGTTTTCAATTGATTCGAATTAGAAACGCAATCGATTCTAATGAGTTGATGCTCCTCAGATTCTTGTGAATGTACTGTAATTGGCTCTACTTGGGTGTTAATTGCGCTTCAAGACAACTTTCGGATTTCCAATGGTTTTAAATTCCACCATGGCTGTACATGATGTTGCCAATTGGTAGTTGATTTCAACCTGGCTTGAAGTTGATGCCAATCAGTTGGTGTTCAACATTGTTCAACTGATTCTTCCTTGACTGAGCGGTCGTTACTTGAGTTCAAATCGGCCGTAGCCAACTTTGATTCGATTTTGAATTGGCTGTTGTTCGTCCGAATTCTACTTGGTTTCACTTTCATCAGACTTTCATTGAGTTTCATATGTAATTTGATTCGCAAGCTTAGAGTACCCCCCCCTCCTCCTCTCCCCTCCTCCCCCCACAAAACAAAAAAAAGACAACACATATTAGCGGGAGACATCCTTTATTACTGGGGGCAGCGATTCCTGAAATAATATTGACAGTCGGGATCCGGCAAAGGTTCAGGAAATGGATACTCTCCAGGCAGGCATGGAAAAGCTCTGAGTACCCGGAAGGCTGTCTGTTTGTGGGCGTTACCCCAGAGTTTTCTGCTATGTGGGCGGGGCAGTGTCAAGGCGAGCAGCAAGTCGTGTTCATGTTCCGTTCCACATCTTGGCAGTCAAATCAACTATGTCTGATCCATTTTCGTAGCAGCGTCACGGGAGAACACCTGCCAGCTCCGCCGCGGCACAGGGATCTCCATAAGATCCAAGCCCCTGCACCCCGGCCTATCTAAAGCTAGGCCTTGCCATCTACCACATCCAAGCCCTTAAAAGCCAGATGCATCTGTCTAGGCTTCATGCGCGAAAGCTTCCGGGCCAGCTTCTTCTGAAAAGTTGTTCAACACCTAGGTGGGACTCCTCTGCTGCACAACTGACAGCTGGCCTAAAGCTTCCTTAGCTATGAAGAGGCAGGCCAAGTGGGAGGCCCGTCGAACACCCTCAAAGGCGAGGGACACGGTTTCCTTGCTCAATAGGCACCATGCAGCCAAAAGCAGCATGCTGCATGGAAAGGTGTCAGTCTTGCATTTCGCAGAACAGGCTGTGGGAATTCGACTGAGCGCTTGTCATCCCATTGCTTCTCTGGGGTATCACGCGAATGATGCACAATCAGATTGTTGTCAAGCCTTGACCTCAGCTGCCCCACTGTGCTACTGTCGCTTGCGCAGATACCGGCCTGCTTCGCAGAGAAACACATGCCAAGCAGTTCCCACAGCAGCCCAGGCTTCTGTACAGTAACGTCCCGGACGTGCCACGCAGACGTGCTTCACGCGCAGCGCCCTGTATCTCGGCCAGCACCTCAAAGAATGCAAAATTGCCATCTGCGCTCAGCAGCAGGCCAAGACGCGAAAGAGGTGACTTTCATGCGTACCATGACAAACACCTCTGGCCAGCAAACAGAGGGGGGTCAGTCCTTAAGGCATTGACCAAGTCAGCAGTCTCAGATGTACTACTCATTATGGTGTCGGGCATGTTTGATGGGCTGCATGAAATGAGCATTTCAGAGAAGAGGATGGGCATTGACGTGAGGCTGCTTGCCTTTGTTTATGTTTGGCTGTCGGCCTAGGATAAGAATCCAAAGCTGTGAGAGTGTTGGAAGAAAGCTTGACCCGACAAGACACTTCCATAATTCGGGATCAGCATGCAGATGACTGAGGGCACTGGCCTTCATGAGAATATCTGACAGACATCTGGAATAGCACTCTGCGCCAACCTGCTTGCAAACTCGGATGGCTTGCCAAAGACTCCATGCCCCAGCGGAACGTCACAAATAGGCAGGCAGCTTTGCATGTGCCTTGCGGCCGTGAGACAGAAGGGCCGTTGACAAGCTTTTCACCTTGCCATCAGAAGTGCATTGTGTTGGAAGCTGGGGTGGGCGTAAACGTCAACAGCTTTGGACAGCACGGGGTAGGGGCCACAGTTGCAAGCATGTCAGGCGCATTCAGGAACCGCTTCAGGATGTTCACGAACAGAAAAACATGTCATGGAGCTGCAAATGAAGTCACTGCACGCGGTGCATTTTCTGAAGCCATCTAATTAGTCTCTTGGACTCTGCAGTCGTGAGTGAAGTCACGATGACACTTTGCTAAGCGAAGGGGCGCAACTTCTAGCAGAGGATCTGAACAAAACCACAAAAACAATGATTCATGCCCTGCTTTGCCATACTCAGACAGACATCGTGATCCTGATCACCTTATCCTCCTGATAAGAGTGACCAGCTGCTGCCCCCTCTATGAACTAGAATGCAATACCTTTCAGACTTTGCAGTCTCGCTGCAGCATTTGAATCTACGTGGCTTCTTCACCATCAGCCGCTCCACTGGGCTGTGGACTCTCAGCTGTGGCACAGTCCTCTGACTGTGCAGCGCCTTGCGGACCACCTTTGGCTGGAGTGTCTTCGCCAGGAGATTTTTCTGTTGTATCTTGGCCAGTCTCTGCAACAGGCTCAACCTGCGCCTGCACCTCGCTTGGAGCCGGCGGGCTCACATTGGTCGCAGATGCCGCGTCTGGGTATGCAGACTTAGCTTCCACGGGAGGATTTCTCTCTCCTGGTTCCGCCTGCTGACTCCGCAGTTTGGTAGGGAGGAGGTCATGAAAAGAGCCACCGTTAGCTTTGCGGCGTCCGATCTCCACGTTGCGGGTGATGAGCTTGGACACTTCCCAGGTTCTGCGAGAATCCACTTTCCACATAAGCTTTGTCAACGTCAGGTTTGTCTGAAACATGTTGATGAAGCTTTCAAGCGCCTCCTCGCTAATCTTGTGATTTTGATTCATGAGATTTAGCGTTTTCAACGCCTGATTGGACGCCAGGCCTTTGGATATAGTGATTGCCCCCCTTGTGCTGAGATGATTTTGCCTCAGCTTCGCTCGGGTGTGTATGGGCGTGCTGATACCATCCCTGCCCTACACAACATTCCAAACGGCCTGCTGCTTATGGATTCCTTGTACAAAAAAGATTCAACCCAAGCGGGCATATGCAGACTACGCTATGCATGGCGAATACTACGCGGGCAATCTTGCAGCTTAGTTGTCGTAGCATTTCTCCTTTACTTATGTCTGAGAAACATTGCTGACGCAGATGAGCAGAATTACTTAGCTACGGCCAAACATCGAGGCAGGATGCTGCAAATCGAGATCTTCAATGCCCTGGTTCACCGCCAGTGCTGCGCCCAAAGCCTTGCACAGCAAACGTGAGCAGTTACCGTCCAGCTTACATCTCGCATGACCACGTCTCATATGTGCCTCTGCCCCAGCATCGGAAATCTCGCACTCGCGCAACACCAGCGTCCTGACTTGGGTCATGTGGCCACACTGATGCATCAAATCCTCTCTGCGTTGTCTCGGGGCGTGCCTGATAACTGTGTTCTTCTTTAGCGCCTCTGCCAGGTTGCTCGTGTTCTCCAGCGCTTTCCTGGTGCCCGAGGGACGTCACATGCGCATCGTGGGATCTGAGAGCCAACGTAACATGGATGCGCCCAGTAACTTGCCGATTTACTACAATACAAAACTTGCGTGGGGCCACACCTGGCCAAGTCAAGTTGAGACTCATTTGAAAGGAAGCGTTCTTCGTGAGATCCAGGGTTTCCATTCCTGAGCTGGCGAGCTCGGCAGATTCATAGTGCAATAGGTGCATCTGTACATTACAGTACCCAAAACGGATGCAGCGCACACAACCAGCAGCAAGCATTGTGCTGGGATCAAGTGTCCTGTCTCATTGTTGGCTACTCGTTCGATGATCTGCTTCGCAGTCTGCTGCCCAAAAGGCATCTTTGCCTCGTTCAACAGGATTCAACTCATAGATTCCCCACAGCTTCACTGAGATGTGTTGAAATCACGCGGGAGCCTCCAGCTGTCAGATCCGTGACCAGTGCCAGGGCTAAAGGCAAAAGGCTGGGCATCAGGGCACAAACCGTGAGCCACATAGCTGTTGCGCACCGCATGAGGTGAACACTCACAAATATACGGCGCGTGCATTGGGAACATGTCTCTCTCAGCTGCCGACTGCGCAGTTGCGCACCTCTGGCCTGCAAAACAGCAATGCTCTTTGTTGAGTCACTTACCGCACGTCGCCAGACGCACATTTTCAAGTTGTAGGGCCAAGATGAAGCGAATGTCTCGCTTCCAGTCTTTTTGTGCGTTCATTGCATCTTACTGCCGTGCAAAACTCGCGTAAGCCTGCATGCAAGGCAGACAGGAAACGCTAAGGCAAAGCCGAGCTGGATTGTAAGTGGAGCCAGAATGCGAGGATGTTTGACGCGCTTGCCCCATTTAGTGGCAAAATGTGAAGCTGCTCCAGCTGGAAATTTCACGCAACATGTGAGATTGATTGAGGATGCTTCATACATGAGCGTTAGCCAAAATTTCAAATTTTCAGCTAACGTGCTCGGACGCTTCACGCGAGAGCAAGACTTCGAGCCAATCTTTGAGGATGCTCCGGGCAAGGGCATTTCAAGAACGGTCATGCTTGCAAGAGCAAAGATAATCATAGTCATGAAAAGGGCAGTAGATTGCTATAGCAAGCGGCAAAGCGATGGCAACAGCAAGAACAGCACCAACAAAGAGCCAAGTAATTAGCATCAAAAAGTGAACAAAAATGTGACGAACATTAGCACATGTAGCCACTTGCTGTGCTTTGATAAGATTTGCCAGACAGAGGGAATTGGGTGGGTTGCGGGTCCCTGCTCCGGATGAAGATGAGAACATGCAGCTTCTTGCCAAGTCTGAATATGATTTTAGCATGGGCTTGGAAGGTGCACCCCCGGATTTCCAAAACATGGAGGAAGGTGAGCAAATCCAGCTTCTTGCCCAGTCTTCATGGAAGTTATAGGCACTGTGATTGCACTTAAAATGGTGTGGGGTTGGTTGGGGTGCCGGCGCGCGGCCCCCCCCATTTACTAGACATGGAGGAGGTGAGAATCAGGTTCTTGCTAAGTTTTGACGAAATTGGACAGGCCGCGCGCCTCCGCGTTTGCTTTTGCAAGCACCAGGGTTTGGGGCAGCCTGCCCCATTTGCAACACATGGATGAAGATGAGAACACGGAGCTTCTTTCAAAGCTTTCATGCAAAGAAGAGGACTACAGAACCGCAATGTGCATAGTAGTTACAGTAATGCTTGTAACATGGCTCATCGCAAAACAATATTCATCTGAATCGTGGCAAATCTACTACACATAATACTCCATCAATCTCCATCATGATAGTTGTAGAAATTAACAGGCTTGCCTGCTGTGCGCTTGCTTGCTTGATTGAGGTTGCGGGCCTGCTTGCTTGTATGTTTGCTTGCTTGTATGTTTGCTTGCTTGCCTGCGCTTGCTTGGGCCGTCTTGGTCTTGCTCGCCTGCTGGCAGGACAGACTGACAGAGGAAGAACACCCAAAAAAAGCAGCGGATCCATCTCATGTCAGACATTGTCTACATCTGCGCTTTGGTTGCGCAGGAGGAGGGTTCATTGACTAGGGTGAATCCGGGACCGGTTCCAACCTGAATGAGGGGGCGGGAATCGTAGAATATGCAGTTGTTTCTCCAACGCAAACCTATCTTAATATGCCCCTTTCCCGTCCAAGGGCCGTTCAGACTCTTTCAAAAGGCTTATCGTCCTCTCCGGGGGATTCTGTGCACGAGAAACCGAACGTGGAACGCCTTTGACGGTGCCCGTTTCCGAACCCCCCAAAACTCACGGTGCCTGTTCGAATCCTGTCCATACAGCGGCCCTTTATATCATCCGTTGCAGGAGTCGAGAGTGACTTTTGGCCAGGTTTTGAGAATGTTGAACGCTGTTGGCTTCCAGAGATCCTGGTTGTTCAACACCCCTGAAGCAATCATCGGATCTCCTGAAGCCTTCGAACAAAAACCCTTCACAGCTGCAATGCCAAACCCGATGTGCTGGCAAAGCCCAAACCAAATCCTTGGGCCGTGAGCCCTTTGGCACATGCGATAGCTGTTTGAAAGGGACTTACACTAGGCAAATGCACATGGAAAAAAATGGAAAACAGCTGTTGGACAGTAGAAAAGAAGATTGAACAGTGGAAAAGTAGCGGATGTTGGATTTGTTGCCAGTGTATGCAAAGCATGAATTGCAAATGGACAAACTTCTTACCGAATAAGTATACCTACATTCTTACAAAGTAGAATGTTCAACAGTGTAACATTAAAGTGTGCCTAGGATGGGCGACTTGGATTTTAGCCAAAGCGAATTTGCATTGTGTTGGCCCCTGATGAGGCGGGAGTGTCCTGGAGCAGGGCTCCAGGCGGGCAAGAAGCGTGGGAAATCCAACAAAACGGAGAAGGATTGCAATGAAATGCTCAAAGCCCAGCCTTATGGAACCTGTTCAATCCCCATTCCCAGGATCCTTTTTGCGATTGTCAAGTTAATTACAAAAAAAATGCGTGTGGTTGTCGTGGAAGGGTTTACGGCAGAACCAAGTCTAGGCCGCCTAAGCATGCTACACATTGAATTCTATGTTATTTGCGAGACCAAAATCATTGCTATAACTTCGAACCCGTATTACTCCCCGGTACAGCCCTACATCCATCCCCGGTGCTTTAAGGCTGGTCAAGCGATGAAGCTGGCAGTAGGTCAAGAACCGGAGCCTTAACTGCGCCCTGCCTTCTGCTGGCGTCTATATAGAGACGCGCTTGAGTGTCGAACCATGATGCTGCACTAGAACTCTTTGTCCAAATTTGCAGTGGAAGGGGAGAGGTCGTTCAATCATGCCGAGTAGGAATTACAAGCACAATTGCATTTATTGTCATTCCTTGCGATATCTGAAAGTTGTATCTCTCCGCGCATGGCTGAGGCTTGCGCTGGTTGGAAATCCTGCTGCTATCACTTGACAAAAAGCAAGACAAAAAGGAATGACGTTACGACTGCGTGCAATAAACGGGACGACAAAAACCAAAGCAACAGGAACAACACCTTTGGCAGCGTTTAAAGAAGTTCAGCCCTAAAACAGTCTTTGTTCAAGGCACAACGCATACACCTAGTTGCCCTGACCTGCTGTCAGAAGCAAGTGCTCGTAGCTGCATGAAGATTTGGACCTTAGACAAGGGCACTCGCCTCCCGTCCATTGAGCTGCTGAGCACAGAAAACACCAAGGTCATAGCCCAAAGCTCAACGACAGAGGCCGAGCTCTCAACCTTGCAAAGCGCTTGGTTATTATGTTGCTGTGGACCAGCTGCAGTGAAGGCCCGACCAAAGGCCCTGCTGCATGCCGAATTGCACACTTTTTCTGGCACATTCTAGCACATTGCCAGCTGACCCACTATGCTGAATCTTCCATCCCGCCAGCGTAGCCTGAACTGTAGGCCTGGTCGCATTTATAGGCCATGTCCTTCTTGGACACCAGTCTGAGTTGCGGTGGCTAGGAAGATCCTGGAATCAGTCTCGCATCTAGCATTGCAGAAAGTCAGCTGCCAGGCACTTTGAATGGACCGTAGATGTCCATAGTTGGAAATATTTTCGGCTCCAGGACGGCGCTTGAAATGTCCAGGCCATCCTTGCTCTCAAGCTTGTGCATCGCCTTCTCGAGAGACCGTTGCATGCGCTGAGCTTCCCTGTAGTTGCCGGTGAGATAGAATCCTTCAAGCTGGTCCTTCCAGTTGTCACCCAGCGCCGGGATCCTTTTCTTCATCTGTTGGGTTGCTTCTTCCTAGGGTACTTAGGTCGCTTAGGCCCGAACCGTGCTCAAGCCACTGCAGCTTGTCTGTCCGCAAGTACGAGGTGAGTATGAAAGCAATTTGCGAATGCTACACAGGCTAAAAAGGTCACTGCACAACAACAGTATCATGTTGACAAGCTCACCGGACCTGGACATCTGGAAAAATGCTACTAGTAACGAGGAGAGGCGTTGGATGATGGTGCGCTTTCACGGCCGTGTTTGCATTATCTTGGCTTAACAGCTTACCACATCTTTGCCCGAGTCGGGATGAACCTCCCCCCAGTCAACGCACAGCCCTCAAAAGCAATGCTGTTCGGTTGGGCTTTGATTGGTTGTGCGTCTCAAGCTGACTAGTACACCTCCGCAGTTTTTGGCTAAATGGAGGCAGAAGATGCAGCAGCAAACCATGGCAAGCTGGAGGTGCAAGAGAATTAAGTAAGCCGAGTTGTATCCTTCCCGCATATAATAGAAAAGAATGCAGATCTCCAAGTCTCTGTTTGAAGGGTATGCCAGTAGACCCGGCGCTGAAGCTGCCGCCAGGGAGGGTGGCAAGGCCCGGAAACCGTGTTCCAAAGCCGGTTCCCGTAATATTGTAGATCGTGTCAGCAATCCACTGCTGCATCGACACCTTTCAACGCGGGCATGTGAGGCTGTGCAGCGCCACAACAACGCCACTACAGAAGTAAGGCTGCGGCCATGACATCAGCGCCATAATCAATTCCCACATTGAAGCGGTGGGCGTGGGCTGGAGTTCGGGCTGCAGCACGGCCACGCCCAAAGAGATTCAGACTGACCTCAGTTCTTGCGAAGCCATCTGCGAGAAAGATTGGTCCTCCAGGACGTGTACAAACTGGACCGGAGGCAATGTTCATGCCTGCGGAAACAACCAGCTGCACGTCCACAAGCTCGTCCTGTGCAAGCGTGCCATTGCAAAGGACTCCCATCGCATGGTCCAGGCAGATTTCTAAGCCGATCTTCAAGCCTCCGACTGTGAGCAGGCCGTTAGGCAGCTCAATGTCATGGCCGAAGCCAAGACGCTTCAACAGCGCCTCTGAAAGGCGTCTGTATATGCAGCCATTGGAGTTCGGGTGTTTCCTGCAGAAGTCGCGCGAGTTACGCGCGGGTGCCGGCACCATCCGTGACCCTTCTGGGCGTGCGCGTATAAAATCAATCCCGCTGATAAAGCGCTTGAATTTCAAGTACGTCAAATTGGTTCCTCCGACGTGAACTGGGGCAAAGTTGAAGTAGCTAACATTCTCGTCTGGTCTTTGAGACATGCGCACGTACCGTTCGTCAGCAGCCTGTGCCATGACCACTGTGCCGTCAATGATCAGCCAGTGCTTGAAGCGTTCATGTGCAAAGCGGTGAAAAATCCAGTGAGCTGTGGGGTGCGTCACATTTTCTAGCCCTGGCTCTATCCTGTAGGCCCCTTGCTTACCTCGCCAAAAGAACTCAGGCAGCAGAACAATTTTCAATGTGCTGGGGCTGCGGTCCCAGTGTTCCGATGCAAAGGCTCTCTCGATGGCTTCAATCATAATCTCTGTCCGTCTGGCAACATCATCACGAACTATACTGCTTCCCAAGTAACACTGATCCATCTTCGAGCCGAAGTCAAAGCAGCCATCCACTTCCGTGCCGGGCGCAGTGAATAAGTTCATACCCAAATATTGAACGGCCTGGTAGCGTTGCCCATCCACCAAAACCACCGGCATCGAACCCCTTGGTCCATGCTCCACGCGGGTATTCAAGCGGCTGTTGTGCCCTAATTTGTATGTGATGAAACAGCCGAAGCATAGAGAGGCCCCAAAGGCGATTCCAAGCCCAACCACTGTAAAACGTTGCCTGGCAGACCTGGACCCAGACAGCTCCTGATAGCATGCCGAGCTTTGACCTTCTCCGGTTGCATGTTGCAACATTGGCATCAGGAGCCGCAAGTCTTAGCAGAGTTCTTGGGCCTAGCACTTCAATTATGTGCATGTTTCATTTGGGCACAAGACATGTTCACACGAGGACCAAGACCCCAAATCTCTCGCGCCAACTGACATTTTGAGATGCCTGCTTACTAGCTTGCTCAAGTACAACAGGTCTCCAAGTGAGGGCCACGCTGCTGGCAGGACCAAGCAGCAGGAAAAGGCCACGTGACTTGGGAAGAGCCCTTGCGATAAAGAGTCACCTGTCCCTAGTGCCATTGGTGGATGTGCCGGTTCCGGCCGCCCCCCTACTGACCTGGTTAAATAAGCGGACTGCTTGCCACGACTTGGGCACACCAGCCACGCAAATCAAAAGCCTCCCACTGGAAGCATGGTATCTGGGAAAGCGTGGAATCCAGTAGACCATTTCCGCTGAGCGGAGAAATCATGGGTATATACTGGCATAAAAACGGGCAGAGTGGCTTAGCAAATTTTGGCCAGCCACCAGTCTTGGTCCTTTGAGAAAGCTTGGATACATGCAGCTAGTTACAGCTAGTTGTGCCTCGCCACTGCAGTGGCCTCACACAGGTATGTCATGCCGAACCAGCCTGGATGGATATTAGCTTGGCAATTTGCACTCTTTCTGGCAGAGCCGCGCCTGGATTGGAGATGATGCGGCGCTATGAACCGATCACTGGTTCCGCTTTGCTGCTTCTGTCACCTTAAGCAACCTGAGCTTTCCAATAGGCGCTTGAAAATCCACATGGTATTCGGCACGCGCACTCCGCGCGCTCAGTACCAGCCATCCTCTCGCAAAGGCACAACACCAGCGGCGCTAGCAGCAGCCGTTTCCAGTCGCTTCATCTCCGTTGAGCCCACCCGCCATGGCAGCTTTGCCCAAACCTGTGGGGTGGGGCCATTAAGGCTGCTGACTACCCTGCATGTCTGCATGCTGTGAAGCTTGCGCACTGCAGCGAGCGTGTATTCTTTCCAAGGCACATCTTGGAAAGGCTTTCCCACACCTCAGAAACTTTAAGTTGATGTGGTCTCAAGGTGATGGCATGGGCCAATCCAAAGCACAATCTTAAAAACAAAGCCTACTGGCAGCCTCCACCCCAAGTCTAAAGACTGTGATAATTGATAATTGACAGTCTTAGGCCTCGTTGTCGGTACTCACCGAGTTCTTGCAGCTCCTCAGCCAGTGCCTTAGCGGCGCCTTCATGAGAGCTGGGTGGCACCATGAGGAAAACTTCCTTGGCTGGACACGTTGACGAAGCTGTGCCAAGTTCTTCTCTGTACAGAATGAGCATAGCGGCTGTCGCAAATCCCACCACGGCATCCTTGGCGCTCCTTGGAAGGTCACGACTTGGGCGCCTGGAGGTGCTATCATTACTTCTGCGGTAGTGTCAAAACATGCTGAAATCATACTTCCATTTCTTCGGCTCGGAGTCTTGTAGCGCTTCTCGTACTCAGGACAAATCATCGGCGGACCTTCCACAGAAATGTTTGCGGCGCTGCCTCCTGCCAGCACTCAGGCTACTGGCTTTGAGTGCGACTACGAGCCAACCCCGAAGGGAAACAACCACTACGACGGTTCAGCAGGATTCTGAAGGAGTCGCGCACTACAACACGGAGACTCGGATCCGATGCTGGGCTTACTTCCCGACTTTGACCTTCAAGCCTTTGCCTCAATGTCACGCAAAGGCAAGCGAATCTCTACCGCACATCATGCAGAACTATCTCTGCGGAAGTAGTTTCACATGATCCTATCTGACAGCGAGACTGGGTGTTCAATCTGGTGAGATGCCTAACCGCCTGGGCACATCAGCACCGCATTGTTCCGCTGCACGTGTTCGTTGATGTTGCGCAATCGCATGTATCTTCACGTCACAGCCATGGTATGCCATGGCGGCTGTATGTTGCGTTCAGAACTTGGCATGAGTGGGTGCAGGAGTTGCAACAAAGCTTGGCGAGTAGGTTGTGTCTGAAGCAAGTATGCACCAAGTCACGATTGCCAACCAGTCATAGAGCAAGGGTGTTTCTCAGTCTGCCACCCCATGAAACAGGGACTGGCAACTTCTCTTTGCAACCCACTCCGACTGAAAACCCACTCAAGGTTGATGTGGGCAACACCACTAGACGCGCCATGCTAGTGCCGAACTTGGTGCCTTGTTGCGCATGTGTTGGGCAATGTTCAGATTACAAAGAAGCTGCTGAGTTTTCCATGACATGTAGCTCATGCATCCGAGCTTCCAATCTTTCTCGACTAGCAGAAGTGCAGCTATTGGCATTTGCATACGACATGCAATTGGAGTTGGCGCTCACCAATCCGAGGAACCGCATCCACAGACGTCCTGCCTCGCTAGGCAGGACCATGCCGGAGACACAACGAGCTTTCCCGCAAAGTAAAGGAGCTTTCAATGTTTTTACAGTAGTTCGCTTGCCAGCCACACGAGCCTCGAAGCATCCTCGAAAAGAGACGCGTAGCGTCGCAAAAGCTGAAACTGAATTCAAGAAGGCCAGGATNNGAAAGAATGATGTCATGGGGGAAGGAAATCCCAAGATGGTATGTAGTCTGCATGTGCGCGGCTCCTCCCTACAGCACTTCGCTCAGACCCTGCACGGCATTGGCTAAGCAAAAAGGCCCATATCACTTAAGGGTACATGAAGAGCCCACGCGCGCAAATGCCAGCAGCATTTCCACCCGTAAAGCATC